CCCAGCAGTGGTGCCATGTGAGAGCTCTGGAAGGTGTCCTCTGGATACAGCAGTGTAAAGACTCACATAGTCAGTGATATACTGACAAAAATAAGCATAGGGTATTTTGAGTTAGAAATCAAGGTTTCATAAAACATTAAGAATGGTGTCTTCTTTATGCAAAATAGAAGAAATACTGTTGCTTGCATATCGTGTGAGAGATATTGTGTGAGATATAATAAGTATCTTAAAAAAGCAGCTAACGCTTTCTCATTACAAACTTCTGCTGCTGAGGTAAACAATGGACCATAATGCAGTTTGCGCTCCCAGGTAATAGAGAAGTTAAGGAATCACAGAAAACTTAAACAAGATGAGCCAATCAGTGAGTAAGACGGCAATCTGATTGTTTTTCCTGCACATTTAATGCATCAGACTAAGAACTCTAAAAACATGTCACCCAAAGTGATTTGCATTGATGCACGCTTTGAGTTGAATAAGGCAGGGAGCAGATGCTTGCATCCATTAATGTGCGCACACTTGTCTTTTCTCTTTTGTTAGAAAAACATTGAGATCTATCAATATCATTATAATCAGATCAGACCCCAACGGAAAGTGGAAATCAAAATTGGTTCGATCTGTATATTTCCACTTGTAGACTGTATTTACTGTCTTTACTATGGTTAAGTCCTGCAGCAGCTATTAACCCTCAATGTCTCATCTGAACATGCAAATATTGAGAGTTTTCTGGACATACTGCAGCCCAAAACAAAACAATAAAGACTTATTACAATAAAATCATCTTCTATCTCACTATGTTCTATTTCAAACTCCATTTAATCATTTATCTTGTTGCCCTTTCACTTTTCTATCACCTTTTTTACTAAAAATGTTAACTCATAAAATGATGTTAACCCAATCCACCAGCAAAACAAACTAATGTTGATGGGACTATAGTGTAATAATTAATTTTAGCGGAAGCACCATACCTCATCTGGACTTATTCATTGATTAAACCATAAATCCAATTCAAGGGTAAACATTGTCTGGTCAGTCTATTATAGATCAGGCAAATTTGAATAGTTGTATTCAAAATTCAGTTTAAAGTTACATATTTTGGGGGATTAAAGATCATTTTCTACAGTGTTTCCATTCTCTCCCATAAATAGTAATTTCAATAAATTTTTTTATTTACATTTGTTTGAGAATTTACTTTTTAAAATGTATTTATTTTCAATCATGTCTTGCAAAGATATTACATAGAAAATGTCAATATTTAACAGAGCTCTACATCATATTAACAATAATCTCTCAAGGTTAATTATATACATGATAGAAAATACTGTCAGAGGGATAGAAGTAAGAGACTTTTATAAATTTGTGTATTGAAGCTAAACCTTTTTAGAAAAATCAAGGTTTTTAGGGATTCATTTTGATGAGATTTCACATGAATTTTATATTGTTTTAATCTTTTAAAACTCTTATTTTTCATATACAATTTTATCTGCAAAATCATATGGGGAACTTTTAAATTGTAGTTATGCGTTTACTATCTAAACAAATAATGAAATATACAGTAGATTTTGTTGTGAGCCGGACACACACACAGACAGTGAACAGAGATCCATACAGGCTAGTCGCTTTTAGAGCTCTACATCTACATGGGCTCAATGCCAGAGTCCCTTGTCTACAGGGGTCCATTCTAAGGTCAATACGACAACACTGTAAACTAATGATCCAGCAAATTCCCTCAGTCTCCCTCTCTCACCTCCTCCTTTGCGTTCCCCAATCTGTTGCTACCCTTCGTCTCTCCCGCTCTCTGATCCCCTGCTGCTCCACAGAAATGAGAAGCAACTGAAGGCTCAGCAGTGGCGGGTTTGCTCTACTCTGATGGAGACCACTGATAAACAAGTCTGCTTGTTAACAGACAACAAAACTTTAGCTCACTTATTTTTTCCTCCTTGCTACCCAATACTTTCTTCTGCTTTGGGAGTTTGGCACTAACAGCCGATGGCCTGCGAGTTGCACAACAAAATGTAAACAACGATAGTAGGTCGATCTGCAGCTACATTATCAACATCATATGAATTAAAGTGGGAAAATTAGCCTTACACATACATGTGTGAAAGTGTGTGGTTTTGTTTAGTAGACAGTCTTGTCTTGATGGGTTTGCAGTTGTGCCATCTTATCACCGCTTTCCAATAACAGATTCAACTATAAAGATTGATCTAAAATAATTGTGTCCATAATGGACGATGAGGTTAAAAGTGCTTTTCTTTTACATGTTGAACTTGAACAGCAATTTAACTGGGGTGAAAAAAGATGTGAGATACAAATTTATATGGCAAGGTTTAAATACAGTAACACAGCTGGAAATAGAGAGTGGGCATTCTGCAGTCTATAATGGAACATACTTTTTACAGGTATACCTGACATTGATAATATATGCTTCACTCCTTATCTTAGACCTTACTTTAAGGCTGATGACCTAACCATCAAAACTGATAGATTATGCTGAGATTTTTTTTTTCCTGCAGACTTGCATGACTGTGCAAGGTCCTGCTGCAGTCAGTGAGTCAGTCAAGCTGTGGGTTCTCAGGTACACTGTAGATAAGCAGAGAAATTAAGTTATCCTGAGCGCATTCTGTCTCCAACTTAGGTTATAGACTAGGGCTGAAACAATTAATCGGATTAATTATGACTAATCGATTATAGAAATAATCATTAACTAATTTAGTAATTGATTAATCATTAACTTGAGTATAGACTCTAAAATATGCCTTTAGCTGATAGTAGTGTCCCACTTAGAGCAGTAATTATAGCAATATTGTAAAAAAAAAAAAAAAAAATATATATATATATATATATATATATATATATATATATATATATATATATATATATATATATATTGTGCATTTATGATTTTTTTTAAATTTTGTCTATGCTCTATCCAGAACTCCTTAAGTTGAAAAGTGTCAGATTCACCTTGTTTGATTTCATAAAAAATATTTAAGGAATCCATGCTATCCGATTATTAATCCAAAAAAACTATTGACAGATTACTTGATTTGCTAAATAATTATTGGTTGTAGCCCAATTATAGACCTTATTATAGTAAACTATAGCTGTTTATCAGCTATAATAAAATGCGGACCTGAGAGAGCAGAACTTTAAAGGTGTTTATCATTAAGAAATTTTAATTTATAACTAAAAATCTCTAAGTAACAACAACATTGGTGTGCTAATTAATCATTTTAACTATTTTAACTGGCAAATTAAAAAGAACAAGTTAATATAATTTTTCTTAAGTGTAAAGTTAACTTAAAACTACCTGAAACTGGGCAATAGCACAACTTTGTAAGATTGGACAAATGCCCTATATTTACTGCTCATACATAACATCTAAGCACCGACCTCTTTAATGATATATGTCCTCTATCCTTTCTTCAAACAGTGCATCCTCTAGCGCTTTGTTTTATAGTTTATGAGGAAGCATAGAACAGCTACAGCAATCTTCAGGCAAAAACCAGTCAAAACAATGTTCTACAGCCGAGGTCTTCAACAGGGGGTCTGCAACCCCTAGGGGGTCCACGGATGTACTGCATGGGGTCACAAAAAGTTTTGGTTGATTGGACTTTTTTTTTTATATTCCCTCTGGAAATTGAAATTACTTCAAATACACATTAACATGAATTCAAAACACTAGTAAACAGATAAATGGAGGCAGATGTCATCAGTGCTAGCATTCAGTGACACACAGGAGCTCTTTCAACATAGGCACCATTTCATTCACAACACCTGTCCCATCAACCAGGAATCAGAATCAGAAATACTTTAATAATCCCAGGGAGAAATTACTTTCATTACATTACTCCATCTGTAATAGAGTGACTATAGGATCATTTCGATATAACACAATTTCATAAAATATATATAATTAGGGGGTCCCATCTCGCCATCAGTTTGGGGGTCCTTGGCCTGGAAAATGTTGAAGACCCCTGAATTAGAGCCATGTTTCTTCAAAGCTCAACACAAACAGAAATCACTTTCTCCAAAACCTGAGACAATGGTCCAGCAGGAAAATTTTTAAAAAGTACTAACAGTCATCAATACACATCTTCAGAGCAGCATCCAGAGGGGATATAAGCAGAAATAAGCAACAATAAGGAATTACTATACTATACTATTAAAACTAGAAACTTTTGGTTGGCACAAAAAATAACGTTGTTTAAATTTTTAGGCAGGTAAAGTGCAGAGTTGGATGAGGCGATGTTTCTTTAAATTACAAAATTCTATGAATGACAAAAAAAAAATAGAAACAAATAATTATAGTAAACTAGACAGACAAAATACTAAAACTGACAGCTCATTTACAGCTCATTCATAAGAAACACAAAAACAATTCCAGCCATTTTCAGGTGAGCATACCCCAGGCACAAGATCACAGTTTGCTGCCACACATTTCACCAGCGTCTGCAGGTGAACTGAACAGAGGACTGACTGAGCGAAGCGGCCCTTCAGGGGCCACAAAGCGGCTCCTGATCGGACCAACGCTCTGACTCTCTCTGCCGCTGTCCACTGTGAACCTGCAGTTTTGCACCGCAAGCTTAAAAATAAACTGCGAATGTAATATCAAACACAAGCCAGTGTCGCAATGCAAAAAAACCCCAACTGAATATAAATGTTAAAAATACAAACATTAGAATAAAACGTGTTGAGAAAAGAAAATGCGTCTCTAGCGCAGCTGGATAAAAAAATAAAACCGTCTTAAAATAAGTGATAAACACAAAGATGAAACTAAAACGAAAAATGTCTAACCTTCAAATTCCAATTAAATCTTTAAACTAAATGTCTATATTTCCTAAAGTAAAGGAAGCAATGAACTTTCCAGGGCTTCCTGAGCACAGAGCTCCGCTGCGCGCCGCCCTCCCCTGCTGCAGTTCTGTGTGTGACTCTGCCCCCACGGTCGCTCATCAACTTCCCCCACAGCCGCTGTTTCCTCCCCCATAAATAAAACTTACTTTTCTCTGGCTTGGCTGTCGGACGGCACGTTGCTGCTCTTGCCTTTGGCGTACATGCTTGCAGAGAGCCTCCGATTGTCACGCACCTGTCAACTCATCACAACCTCCTTCGGTACGGCCCCGTCACCATGGCGACACTAGCAGCGTCGTTTCCTATTGGATGTCCCGCTGTGAGCGACCGCCCGCTCTCCTAACAACCACCACTGATTGACAGTTCTAAGCCACTCCCACATTGAAATAACCCCACCCCTCCTTCGCTCTCTCTCCTTCTCTCCATGTCTCTCCTTACCCTGTAGAACTGTCTCTCTCTCTCTCTCTCTCTCTCTCTCTCTCTCTCTCTCTCTCTCTCTCTCTGTGTCTGTCTGTCACCATCGCTTCCATTCCTTCAGTGATTGGAAAGGTTTTACTGACATATAGAGACTCACACATATACTCCAAGACAACATGCTCAGATATACACATCTGCAGTACCTCCCTCATCTTCTCTCTGAGCAGAGTGGGGAATTTGAAACCGTCCAACTAGGATTTTAAACAACTGGTTTTGGCTGTTCCCTTTATAGTCAATCACACCCTCTGCTGACACACACACACACACACACACACAGCAAAAACAACAGACACATATTTCCATTACTGTTTTACTCACATATGTGAGGTCATCCATTAAGGTTGAACCCCCGTTTCGTTTCCCACATGTTTCTGTTTTATTTGTTAATATTTCCATTTAGTACCAATAAAAAATGAGTCATACCAGTATATCCCTATATCATTCTGTACTGCTTCATTTGTTGAAGCCATAATAAAAATATAAATAATTATAGTTCATTTTTATTTAAAAATATCACTCCCCAATAAAAAACAACATCATTGGTCCTACATAATATTTAATTGTTATTATTATGTTGATTTCCTTCATGGTCAAACAGTAGTGATAAAATTCAAGTAACTATTTCTGCAGATAAATATAATTGATTGTATCTTATATGTATTCTTTGCAGTAGACTGAATAGATTTTAGAAAATTCCTTTAAAGAGTATGAATCGGTACATGGCCGTGTTGGATAAAATACTACAACAAATATGGTGTTCTATAATGAAGATCTTTGGATTGTTCTTAGCCTAATATTGTCTTTATTTATATATATTGTCACCTGGATTAAAGATTGCCATGGAAAACCCTGACAAAGGATGAAATCCCAGGGCCACAGGCATACTCAAAACACTGATGTTTTAAGTCCCAGGTCCGGATAAGAGTGCAAGTGTCCGTCTGCTGTTCACAGGTGGAGATATGATGAAGTGAGGGATGATGTGTGTTTGTTTTCTTTGTTCTTCTTGGGAGAACAAAATAACTGAGGAGAAAAAGCTTTTTTCAATCAAAGTGGAAGAGAGATAAAATAATCTGACTATGAAATAATTAAGGAATGCTCTGAAAAGTTTTAATGATGGCTTTTACACAAGCCGTTTTTATTTAGCCCTAGAAGGACTATTTCATCGTCCTACTTCCAGCACAGACCAGCCAGCTCCAATTTCCTCTCCCCAACTCTGGGGCTGTCTGCCCAGCAGGGCTCTTTGATCTACCACTGTGATCCTTCAATCTCCCATAGTTAACATCCAGAGGCTAGCTGTGGCCAGCCGACTTTTCTCCTTGCTCTGTCTGCCTGGCAGACTTCTCTGACGTACCGCTGCCCACCTCACAGCCAGAAGCAGCCTCTCACCCACCTTCAGAGCTATTTGCCTGGCTAGCTACTCAGATCTACCACTGTCCTCTTCCACTTTCCTCCTGAGTTAGATCTGGTGCTCTGTCTGCCCAACTGGTTTCTCCGATCTACCACTGTCATCTTTGATCTCCTGCTGTGGTTCCACAGGGAGAAACATCTGGTGGCCTCGTCTCTGTTCTGGTGCTCTTTCTGATGATTCTGATTTCCTACTTCTCCTGTCTGAGCTCCAGAACACCGTCTCACCTTACTTCTGTTGTCTGGGAGAATCTGGTGAACATAAGGGACAGCTTTGTTTGGCTTTTAAAAAAGAACTTTGATTCGTAGAATCCCTGTCCTTCCTGTTTTCTTGAGAAACTATCTCTGGCCCTTCCTGTAAGTCAGTATCTGAAATTCATAATTTTTAAGTGCTAGATTCTGCTCCCTATCCCTCAGTAGGTCCACTACCCCTGCATGCAAAGAGGAATTGGGACATGACTACCCTCACGGGAACCCGCAACATTTATTGGTAGGGCTAAGGGTTGTATTGGGATTAGCCCTAAATGAGTTATCTCCATAGGGTGGCCAAGCTCAGCCTTAGAGGCAAGTTGAGGAGCTCCGTCATCAGACAAGAGCAGCTGCTCCCATCAAAAGGTGTCAGTTGAGGTGTTTCGTGTAGTTAATCCGAATGTTTACTGGAAGGCCTCGATGCTTGAATAAAGGGCATATAGTGGATGGATGATATAGCAGTTATGCTCTACAAAAATGTACCGCCTACAGAAGCAGTTGTGTGGGTGTGGTTTTCATTTGCAGAATAAAGTGCTAGGTCATGCTGCTGTCCAGTTTGGCAGTTAACAGACAAGAGAGTTCAATCAGCTGCCATGAGGTGCTTATCTGAATTATTTCAAGAGAAATGACACAAGAGAGAAAAACTCGGTTTGATGGCTTTTTAATGTTATAGGCTAAACATATTGTCATACAATGTGGCTGTGCTTCATTGTGATTGTGTGAGCTTTTGCACACTAAGGGCACAGCACAGGGGCAGCAGTGTTTATGCTTATGCAATGCTCCTGCGATGTGACCTAGTTGGAATGGATGTATGCTGCCTCATTCCCTTCTGTTTTCTCTCTCTATGCATGTCTCTCCCCCTCTCCCTTAATGTCTTATCCTCTTTACCTTGACTAAATTACATCTCTTATTTCTTTCTCTGGCTTTCACCCATCTTCATCCTCTTAGAGCATGCCCCGCCATACTCACAAAAACAGGAAAGATTTTCCAATTCAGTTGCACCAAACTTTCGGTTTTGGGATCAGTCACCCAAGGGTTGATCACCATGACAACCAAACAGAAGCGATAAGCATGTGTTTTAGAGAGTAAAGAAGTAAGAAGACAGACAGAACAGGAAAAAAATTAATTTATTAGGTTTCTTTTTATGCAAAATAGGTCATATTAACATAACTGGATGGATGTTTAACACAGAGTAAACACCAATTTAATAATAATGTTGGTCAATTATAATTTTTTGCATAGAAATACTTTCTTTACCTACATATCCCATGGCCAGTTAAGGAAAAATTAGCTATAAAAGATAATAAATGAAGGCAAAAAAAAAGTTACATATATTTAACACAAAACTTGTTTAGTTAATCAATTACACATTATTCTTTTCAGTCCCCTAACGGGCGACCTTAACTTCAGATATTTCACTTTTTCCCAACTTTTGATGGGAAAAAAAAACATTAGTCTTAATCAAACCTATAGCCCCACCTTATTATGTCAAATCACTCCGGTCATTTTGTTATGGCATTAGGTAAAAGACAAACTGGTTTATGTATTTTTTTTTTCTTTTATCAACCGGCAGTTTTTATGGTGACTAAAGAACAACAAATTATCACTGCCACCTGCAGTTACTCCTTTTTGCAAAAAAAAAAAAAAAAAACCATTGCTTCTCTGGCAATGTGGCAATAAGATTAAATATCTTGATGCCAAAAAAGGGCCCAACAGATTTCGCTTTCGCAAGTGGAGCAGTGCAGCTATCGCCACAGTGTTCGGCTTGATGTATGCATATAAATAGCTTTATTATGATTATGCAGGGAGTATTATAGATTATATGGACACTGCAATGTAAATACAACAGGAAAGGAAAAACAGGAAAAAGGAGAAAAGATTAAAGAAAGAGGAGATAAAAGGTAGACAATAAAATGTCTTCAATCTGCTTTATCACCTGCAAAGAGAGATGTAAAAAGAACAACACATCCAACGGATATAGTATAAGAGATACAACAACGAGGCACCTTGATAATATCGAAGTATAAGTAATAATTATTTATTCTGACATGTATACTGTGGTTAGTTTCTCCTTTTCACAACTATAACCAAAAAAACACAATGAGGTAATAAGGTGTTGTCAACCGGACATAATGTATTTACAGAGCCACATGTTTTTGTATACTTCCAGACCAATTAATCTCAAGAACCGTTTAGTGTGAAGGTTTAATCGTTTGCTAATTATTGTCCTCACTAACTGGCACTCTCAGTGGAAATATACAATTACATAGCCCATCGATGGGTTCAGTTAACAAAGGCTGTTTGCCAAAACTCCAAAGCTGTTGTTTGAAAGAAAGAGAGTTTGTTCTATATTGTTATGTGGTAATAAAAAGGAAATACAAAGCCTGCTGATAAAGATAAAGAAGGAAAGATGAGGTTGTGTTTATCACTTCATTTAAAGGAATAGTACACCCAAAACATGATTAGCCTTCATTTTCTACTCACCCCCATGCTGAACAACACTCTGGCGCGCACATGCGCGCTCACGACGCTACGGAAGCCGGCAGACCAAACCAGATGAAAGTGCGCATTCAGCATCTGCTCTGCCAATAATGCAAGCGTAGAAGAAGAAATGTGCTGTTTACCTGTGCAAAGAAAGAAACAACGAAAGAAAAATGTCTGAGGACTTCAGTGTTGAGGAAGAGCATGAGTTCTTTGCCGAGCTGAATGCGCTGGTTTGGTCTGCCGGCTTCCGTAGCGTCGTGAGCGCGCATGTGCGCGCTTTCAGGAAATCCTATACACTACTGTTTATGCTCTAAAAACATTCTAAATGACTTCGTTTCGAGTAAATTCTGGATGCTACCCACTCAGGACACTTGGAATACATTGGACGAGCAGTATGGAGGAATATTGACACGTTTTTTGTGGACTTTTATGGACCTTTCTGTCTCGGGCACCATAGACCTCCATTATTTGAATGTCAGCAGACAGCAAGAAGCCTCCCAGATCTCCAGATGCATTTGAGATATCAAAAAAGTACTCCAGAGTGTTGTTCAGCATGAGGGTGAGTAGAAAATGAAGGCTAATCATGTTTTGGGTGTACTATTCCTTTAACATGAAAGAATAGACGTTTCTGTTGCCCTCTTGAACAAGGAAACAAAAGGCTATCAGGACCTCTGCAGTTTGCTTATGGCCATTTAGTTGGAGTTGAAGAAGCCATAATACACCTGCTTCGTAAAACCAC